TGTGCACTGTTGCTGAAGAGGAGCAAAATTTTGCATTCAAGCTTAAAATGTATGCAAATTTAGCCTCCGCTTGGGCATTTTAATGATTTGAGATCCAGTGAATTTAAAAGGCTGTTACTGATGCTACAAACCGTCCCAGTGCTAAGAGCTTATTTCTCATAATAACAGTCTTCTAGCTTGTCTAACTACTAGAGGTGAAAATTTGTAAAATACACAAGCACACACACACATGTAGACAGACAGTCTTACCAGTATAAAATCTTGTATTATCATAAATTCAGGAAATACGAAAAACGCAACACGCAAGGAATGATAAGGTGCATAGTAGGAATTCATGAGAATAAAGATGGTGCTGTCTTTTAGTTAGGCCCATTCTTGCTTAAGCTTGAAGATAATAACGCCGATATTTTTCGTCAATAATATCTAAATAAAACGTTCCCGGGAACAAACTGAATTCATCTTCCAGAATACTGCGTGCAGCTTGCGGTTTGTAAGGCACTGAAAATACTCAAAATTTTCCGACAAATCTGAAATTATACCAGTGACAAGAAATCCCAATACCTTTCTTGGAACAGCAAGAACAACATGCCTCTCATCCAAGCTACAATGTCAGTTCAAACATTAAAGACTTCTGTCTGTGAAATGTGCAAAAAAATCTTTTTTGGGAGGGAAAATGGGTTTTAAATTATTTTCAGGACTTTGCAAGCAATTCATATCACTTTCTTTACATGCAATTAGTAAAACTCCACGAATATTTCCAACCCAGGAGAAAAAAGAATTTGATAAACATACAGCTGCACTTCTGTTTTATGTAAATAGTGGAATCCATCACTCCATGGAATAGCACCTCCACGGTACGAAGTAATTTTAAGGGAAAGGCACCCCGCCAATTAAAACGCGATATAACGGACGTATCAGCTACAAAAAGAATGATAATATCCACAAAAAACAGCATTTTACAATCAAACGAATACTGAAAGAGGGATGCAAGGTGTGCAGACCTCCGTGTAATCTGATCTATGGCATCAGACTTAGGCTGATGATAATTTTTAAATTCAGAATGAGCATGCAAGAAGTCAAAAATTCTACAAAAACAAGAAAATTATTCTGTGAAAACTATACGAGGACGACATAAATTGAAAGTGGTTTTACCTTGACTTGAAAGAAGCTTTTCCCTTAGGGCAAGAATTTCGTTATATCGTTTTGGAGTGGTGCACAGACGCAGTTCGAGTGAAGCTGCGGCTCTGTTGGCGCTTTTTGCCATTAATTCGAATTGATGTACTGCATCTGGAAATTGTGAAACACACTATGCCAAAAAATTAAAACAAATTAGCAAACTATAACACTAAACACCAAAATATCACATAAAATTAGTTTAAATCAACACTGAGGCTACGAGTCAGAAAAAAGTAAAATTTGGAAGCCGATTTCAAAGCGATCACTCCTTAACATGTGATGAATTAAACCGTTAAAACTTCGCAGCCTAATTCAGTTTCGAAAGGGAACATTCAGTTGGTTTCCAAAAATACGATTGGGGAAAAGAACACAGATCGAAACTAAAATTCATTCCCAAACAGTGGCTACGAATAAAGCATCCGAAATTTCAGTTTCCCAGCTTTTTAGGATTCCAACACTGAGACTATCCAGATAAAAATAAAATTCACACAAGTGAAAAAATTACCAAAATAAAGGAACGCACAAAAATAAAATTCAGAACCAACTGCCAACAAAATATTTTTCCAAAGAGGCTAACCTAAACCTACTGTAGGCAGGTTTTCTTAAATTTAGTGGATCGTGAAAGAGCAGGTTTTCGTATTGGTGGAATCGAACCAACGACTTCGAACATCAGTCCCACCGCCTCTTGGAAAAAAAATATCTTAAAACCGATTACTTCCATCCTCCTGTACCAAGCGGACGCACTCGTTTACTGACCAAACAATATTTTCACCAATTACCACCGCCAGCTAGCGTGAACGCTGCCAACTGTGTTTTCTAGGAGCCAGCTAACAAACCATGAGTAGCCTCAGTTCTAACTACTGCTTGGTTTTGTACTGCACAGCTGTCTCGAGGTGTCCAGGATCATTTGAACCACATTAAAAGAACAGTGTGACCAACAAAGTTACTTCACTGCCGTAGACCTTTCCCGCCACCGCGACATTATCGAAAAAACGTGATACCGACGTGGTGATATGTATGCAAGCTATCGATACCTGACTCATTTTCATTCAGCGAAATACGAGCTGAAAACATTGCTGCAATCGCTCCACTTCCATATGAAAAAAATAAAAAGCGCTGTCCATCCAGCGCTTGTACGTCTGAGGATCTGAAACACTACGATGACTCGATTTGCACGCAGAACTCATCACTTTATGCTTGCGCGAGTTACCCAGCACTGCAAATACTCCCTTATGAAGTAAACATTTCCTCGGCACAAACTTTTGCTGAAAGATCAAATCCGCTTTCAAGTTCTAAACGAACATTTTGAATGCTTTTTTTCTAAAGTAACCTATAAACACAAAGAGTTCGACACAGCAAAAACAGAACATTCCGTCCTAAACTCAGCCTCAACCAACCCATTCTCAGCAGATACTCCTTTCCAGATGATACCGGAATCAAAAGCCCGTTCAGGACACTACCCTCATAAAAAAATCGTTGCCAACATGAACCACGCAGCCCCGTACGAACATGCGTTTTTACAGCACTTCGCACTGTAGTAAGATCTCTTGGAATCCCAGCAACTAGAATTTGTGACATACTGATCCTCGAAGTTCACGAAGTTAACTGTGGAACTACACGGCACTTGAACGGGGAACATTCCATTAAAATTTCAGTTGCTTTTCAGTCTTTCTGGCTCCAGAGTTAGCAATTTTTCCGCCAACAAATTCACGGGCTCATACGTGAGAAACATGGGAGGCTGGATCTGAAATGTTTAAGCTCAACGTGGACGGATAACACCCCCTCTAAATTTCAGCTTTTCGACTTCTTCGGCTCCCGAGTTAGCAACTTTCCCGCCAAAAATTTTCGCAAGTCCGTACGTGAGAAATACGCACACCTGGGGCACTGTATGTTCCCCGCCAATGTGTGATCGCGCAAATTTAAATTCAGCCTTCCCATACCCGCGGGTAACACGCACGACTCCGTAAAAATTTTGGCGGGCAAAATCATCTCAGGAACCACGGAATCCACGAAGCTGAAATTTCGGGGTAATGACATCCTCTGCCCATGTACGACCCCC